TATGCAAGCAGTTACACTTAAATACCTTTTTGCTCCTGTTTTTTGTACACAAATGGTAGGTATACTATATACACTTGTTCTACGACCCCTTATTTTTCCTCTTAAAAATACACCTTAGAAATTGTTCCCTAAATTATATAGTCTCCTGTGGGTTTTTTTTTTTTAATGTTTGCAAGGTATATCATCATTGCACAGCTAACCATAATCTAACTACTATCCTACTAGAAAAATTACTTCCAACCTTTTGTATCTATAAACAATATAGCATAGCGATGAACAACTCATTATTTCACACACCAGTATATCTATAAAATAAACTCCTAGGAGTTGAATTGCTGGGTTAACTTTAATAAATACTATATCAATTTATTCTCCCTAGCAGTGTTTGAGTGTTTTTGCATGACTTTAAAATTTATATAGGGGAACCTGGGTGGCTCAGTTAATTGAGCATCCGTCTTCAGCTCAGGTCACGATCTCACAGTTTGTGGGTTTGAGCCCCACGTCAGGCTCTGTACTGACAGCTCAGCTAGAAACTGCTTCAGATTGTGTCTCCCTCTTCCTCTCTGCCCCTCCCCTGCTCATGCTGTTTCTCTCTCAAAAATAAATAAACACCAAAGCATGACTGTAAATGTTCTTCTACTTCTTTGTTTTTTGTGGCCTAACCTATAAACTTGAGATCTAGCCATATATTTATATATATATATATATATATATTTTTTTTTTTTTTTTTTTAATTTCTAGGAGAGAGAGAGACACAGTGTGAGCAGGGGAGGGTCAGAGAGAGAGGGAGATACAGACTCTGAAACAGGCTCCAGGCTCTGAGCTGGCAGTCAGCACAGAGCCCGACACGGGGCTCGAACCCATGAACCGTGAGATCATGACCTAAGCGAAAGTCGGACACTTAACCAACTAAGCCACCCAGGCGCCCCCATATATTTATATTTTTATATTTATATATATTTATATAACATATAGATTTTTTTTTCCTTAAAGAATATTTTTTTAGTAAGCTCTATACCAATGTGGGCCCTTAAACTCATGACCCCAAGATTAAGAGTTGCCACAGGCACCCTTTCCTTAAAAAATGTTTTTAAATAACTTCTACTGTGATTCACTCACAAAGGAAACAGTGACCTATTTACCTGAAATTGTAGTTTTATATAGGAAAAAACTCATCAACTTCATTAAGAGATCGTATGTATAAACACCTCACTTGCTAGAGACCACCTACTCCACTAAAGGGAACATCTTCTCTTCTCTAAAAAAAAAAAAAAAAAAAGGGACCATCTTCTCTTCTCTTGGAAACTTAACAAAAACTGCCATTCTAATTTACTGCAATAATAACATGACTCTCTATTCATCTGTGCTTTTATAATTGTTGTACCTTGGGAAAAGCGAGTGGACCCTGTGAGGGAGGGGCGACTAACACCTTGACAACCAGGAAAAAGGAAAATTAAAAAAAGATAACTTGGAAATAAAAAAAATAATTCAAGCATAATCCCAAACCAACCCTAGGTGTCTGTTTAAACCTTTCCCTCAAAATGTTGCCATTAAGTTACCAAAGGACTTTTTTAGTCTGTAATAAGAAACAAAATAATCACTGCAAATTCACAGTCCCTTTCACCCCCAAAATTAAATTTCCTCTAAGCATGTAATAATCATAGTGGGAATTTTTCTGCATATCAGTATCACAGCTTTTATTAGATTCTTTTTCTATGTTAAATTTACCAATGTGTATAACTAATTTTAAGACCTGTATCTGCTCAGAATTACCTCCATTGAAATATATGGCTAATCGTTTCATAAGAATTCTTGTCAAATTAAGGCTAGTGTAAGTTACCAACACTGCCACTGTCATAGGTTATTTCTGCCTGTGCCCTGAGCATCTATGCCCCCCTTTTCTTTCTCCTAATAATTAATACCCATTTCTGTGTAAAGTTTTATCCTGTCTCCCCACACGAAGTTCTTCAGAAGATGCGCCCACCACACACACACACACACACACACACACACACACCTCCAACATCTAACAGTAGGCCATAGTCCTCCAACAGTAATGCTATCTGCCTTGCTAGTACCTACTTAGGCACACAAACCTAAAACAATTGGCACCTGGCACCCCTGACCCCAGGTATGCACCAATGAGACTCAGGAGAGGTATGCTGAAGTTTCCTTGCTTTGGAGAGAGAACCACAGAAAAAGGTGTCCTTAGCTAGGCTGACTTGGATTTTCTATTACTGTACTTGGAGCAAAAAGCATCCCAACTGTTTAACAACTTAAAAGTGCAGTGGTTGAGGGCGCCTGCGTGGCTCAGTCAGTTAAGAATCTGACTTCAGCTCAGGTCATGATCATATGGTTAGTGAGTTCTGAGTCCCAATTCAGGTGACCTTAAGCCCTGCTTCAGGTGAGCTCATGCCTCACTTCGGGTAACAAAAACAAACCAGAAACCCCCCAAGCCACACCTGCGGTGAGCCCTGCTTCTATCTCTCTCTCTCTCTCTCCTCCTCTCTGCCCCTCCTCACTTGTGCCCTCTCTCTCTTAAAAAAAATGCACTGGTTGAGGATTTTGATCAATATCAACGAATATATTTATGAACAAATTTAACCCTATCTATGAAACATGTGATTCTTTGACTAATACTGGCCTTTCTACATTTGGCCAATATTAGTCAAACTGGAGAGGCTAACTCTGACAGTATTTAGCACTTCAAGAAAGGCACATGTGGAAGAGTGAAGGCTAAGGAACAGCACTCACTGGAGGGACTCATGTCACAGCCACATCTCAGATCAAATCCAGAAAACAAAAATTTTCCTCTTGCTTTCCTATCTGCCATGGCAAAAGCCATCTAGCAAATAAGAAAACGATGCCTGACTTTGCACAGTTCTATGTGAGAATGATGAACATCCTAATGCAAGCAGACCGCGGGAGGAGTGAGGGTATCAGGACTGCCATCACTGTTTGGGGGCATTAACGAGCATGTCTTAAAATACTTGTAAACTAAGGGCGGAAATGGTGGGGGAAAGGGAGAGAGGCAAACCATGAGAGACTCTTGAATGCTGAAAAAAAGAAAAAAAAAAAAACTGAGGACTGATGGATGTGGAAGAGGGGGGGGGATGGGCATGGAGGAGGACACTTGTGGGGATGAGCACTGAGTGTTATGTGGAAACTAATTTGACAATAAACTATTTGTAAAATAAATAAATAAATAAATAAATAAATATCAAACTAAAAAAAAAAAAATACTTGTAAACTAAAAGCAGTTTGTGATTGTGATTGCCAGCAAGAAACAACATAGCCAAAAACAGAGAACTTCAAGGGCACAGAGACATCTTACTAACCTAATACAGACCCACCCTGATGGCTGTTATTACCCTATTCTGGCATTTGCTTCTTACTTTCTTACATTGTTGGCCTTGCTGATTTTCATAAGAAGACTTAGACAGTTGCTTCCCTGTGGGCTATACAGCAATTTTCCAGTTCTATGACTCAGAAAGAGCAAGAGAAGGAAGGGTTCTCCTCTTCCATCCCTAGATAAAGTCAGAAAATGTTTATTTAGCTCCGGTAAAGCAAGGCTCAGTTAATTCACTGTACAGACTTTCACAGCTTTTCTTTTTCTTTTTTTTTCCTTTCAGGTCAAATATTTACCAAGAGCTCAGTGTATGCAAGTCATAGGTTATTATTTATCCAAAGCCAATGCATTAATTATATTTATCAGTTCCATGCTTTCTTCCTCTACATCCCTAATAACAAAGTCAAATATTTTAAAGAAAAAAAATACTTCTGCCTCACAGAGTCTGCAATTAAACTTTTTGTGCCAGGGGCACCTGGGTGGCTCAGTCAGTTAAGGGACTCACTCTTCATTCCAGCTCAGGTCAAGATGTCAGGTTTGTAGTTTCCTGCCTGGGGCTCATGCACTGACAGCATGGAGCCACTTAGGATTCTCATTCATTCTCTCTTTTCTCTTTCTTTCTCTCTCTCTCTCATACACTCACTCTTTGTCTCTCTCCCTCTCTCTCCCCCCCTCAAAATAAATGAATAAACTTAAAAAAAAAAAAACTTTCTGTGCCAGAACTGGGGGGCTGGAGATCAAGTTTGTTATTTCCTGGATATTGTGTTGAAACACAAGGGTAAGAGATTCATTCCACTTTCCTTTAAAAAGTTCAAATGATGTGCACTAAATTGTTAAAACATAAATATTCTATGCAAATAAACGGAAACGAACTACATAATGAGCTAGCAAATACTATCTGCAGGCAACATCTGCACTGCCTACCAGGTTTGGCACACACAGACTGCAAAACTGATAAATCAGAAACACTAAAGGCACGGAGTCTGCATTCAAAGCATAAGCCACGCATCGCAAATATAGGACCAGTTTATATTCATTAACTGCTCCGAAAAAAATTAGTCATCCTTCCAGACGAGATGGCCCTCTTTTTTAAAATCTGTAAGCTAAGCCCAAAGCACACTTAGTTTGGGGGTGGGATGCCGGGGGGAGGAGGGGAACGACACATTTCACACTTGAGAATCGGCCAGGGCAGGTAAGTCGAGAACCTCCTACAGAGGACGGAAATACGGACAATACTGAGGACTAGCGGGGAAACGATGGGCTGGCCCCGAGCCCAAGGAGCACAGTCCCAACGAACAAGAGGCCCTCTCCCCGGGGCTCCGCGCCGAGACCCCGGCGCCTCCACCCAGCACTGGACTACCCCACCTGGGAAAGTTCGCACCTCCGCATCCCGGCCCCTGGCACCCGCGAGCCCCTCGGGCCGAGGCGCCGTCGCCATGGCGACCGGTCCCCACCCCACCCCCACCCGGCCACGGAGAGTCGCGCCGCAGTCCCGCGGTGGCCGCGGGCTGCGCTCCCGCTGGAGCCCGGACGGAGGCTGCCGAGCCCGGGAGAGAAGGAACGCCGGGGCGGGGGGAGGATGAAGAGGTGCGAAAAGCGGAAGTCGCCTGGATCGCCGGCTGGGGCCCGCCCTTGCCGCGGGGGTCCTCACCCTTCACTTTGCCGAAAGTGCCGACCCCCAGCGTGTCCCCCAGGATGTAGTGGCCGATCTTCACCCGCCCGTCGTGTTTCTGTTTCTCGGCTGTCGCCATCTTTCTCCAGGAACTGAGTCTGCGCATGGCGCCGCGGGAGGGGGCGGAGGGGGCGGGCAGGGCCGCGCCGGGGGCGGGGGGTGGGGACGCGGGAGGGCAGCCGCGCCGCCGGGCCAACGCCCAGCGCCGGCCGCCGGGTCCCCGCCGCCGGGCGTCGGGCGCAGACGCTCCCCCTGGCGGGGCGGGAGGGGGTCGCTGGGAGGGCCGCGGGCACCCCCCTGCCTCGCGCGGCTCCGTCTGGGCCTGGGGCGCCCGCCCACCTGCGCGCGGGAGAGGGCTTCCCGAGGGCTCCTTTCCTCTGTGGCGGAGTTTCTGCCGCAGTGTCTTCCCAGCCGTTCCTCCCGGGCAGGCGACCGCTCTCCCGTGATTCGGAGGGGAGAGCTGGGCACTGAGGAAGCCCGCCCGGGTGCAGCGGTTGCGTGGCTTGTTACCGGTACAGCGTGGATTGAAACACGGCAGGGGACGCCGCCCCGCCACTGTTTGCTAACCTTTTCATTTTTCCTGCTCGAGTGGAATCTAGAAGCCGCTGGGAGTTGTCAGTTGCATCTTTGATGGAGTTTCCCCTTTCCCCACCCACCTCCCCTAGCTCTTTGTTGTTGTTACTTTAAACCAGTAAGTTGTTATTGGGCGCCTCGACAGCTCAAGTCGCGTTGTTCGTGTTTCCTCCTCTGGATGCTTTTTCTGAAATTTCCTTCCCAAAAGCAGGCTCTGTTGGAAGGAGCAGGTTGGGAATATTGTGAACGAATATTTGCTCAGGGATGGGATGTGACAGACATAGGAATTGATCTTTTTCGAGTGTCGGTAAAATGGAGACTTTGAGTTGAAGAAAAGCTTACGGTTCCATCAACCAAATCAGTCGACAAAATATGTATTGTACGTGCAATAAATGAAATTTATCAATGCAGACGTGATCGTGCCACATCACAGGAGAAGTAGAGAAAGTGTCCTTATTCGTATTAAAATTGTGAAGCCAGTTCACTACTCAGTTGTATTCCGCTGACATGGGTAAAATCAAATGTCAAAAAAAACAAGATAGGATCTCAATTTTGCAGAGTCATAGTGTTTGGGCCAGTGTCAATGGGCAGAGTTGAGCTCTTCAAGAAAATAATATAAAAAAGTGAGACTAAAAATGTTATCCTTTTTCTTCCTAACCAAAGCTACCCAGCTCCTCTGATTTTTATATTCTGTCTATGAAATAAAAGTAACGTGCATTAAGCACTGCTTTGTTCCAATCAAGGCACGGCAGAAGAAGCGAAAGCTTGACCATAGATCGAATAAGCACAGAATGGTTACAACTAGCCTTGGATAAATTTTTATGGACAGTACATATTCTGAAGGACCAGAAAGTTAAGAAGTCTTTGACTACTGACATACTTGCAGGATGGGCAGTGGTCACAGTTGTAATTTTTGCTGTCTGGTTTCTTCACCTTTACTTGTTTGCCTTGTGAGTTTCCTGAGCTCAGACATTTTGGATCTCTACAAAACAGAAGTAGCTTGCTGAATTCTCTCAGAAAAAAAAAACAACAACTTTAATCCCCTACTCTGAAATATTTAAAGTATAAATTTGCATCATGTCTAGAATTTAGCCTAGCAAAGTTCTGTTATTTCTTTTAACCTAAAAGAAAAAATTGCAAGGTACCTCAGCCCTGGTGGGTAAACCACAGAGGATTTTACAAGGGAGCAAACTGAAGCTGAATTTTGCAAACCAATGGCCAATCTCAGTTGGCACAAAACTATGAAAACCCAATTAAGAAAGTAGTACAAACTTTTTTTTAACAGAAAAATCGGCTTGTTTCTGCTATAGTGTTTTAGATTATAATTTTGTTTAATAAATATTCATTAAATGCCACTATTCACTCAAAAGCCTTGTTGGAGAAATAAAACCTTAGATCAAAGAATTGAGTAGGAACTTAGAGGTCACCTTATTTGGTCTCCCATCATCTCTGTTTAGGCAGCTTTTATTGCTAGGGTTTTGTTGTTTTGTGTTTTTTTTTTCTTATGTTGAGTTAAAAGCTGAATTCAATTAACAGTTTCTAAGAAAGTAAGTAATAAGCCTCCTTTAATCCTTTGCTTTTTCTCTTTCCTTCATTCCTTTGAAAAAGTTTTTGTCACCTTTTCTTCCACCCTCTCTTCCTTTCATTCTCCCATTGATCCATCCCCACACCCTCCTTTCTTTCTTCAAGCACTGCCAGACACTGTGGATTAAATACAAAATGAAAATTTGTGGCCCTTACCCTTGAGAAGCTCACAGTCTAGAGTGGCAGTTCTCTGTATTCCTCCCACCCAGGACAGATAATAGTCACATGCTCCACATTGTCCCAGGGTAGAGGCAAAGATAAGGCAAACTGTAGCCTACCCCCAGTTTCCAAACCCACCAGTTGTAACTCCACCCCTATTCTCAGCAGAGTATATTGGAATATAAGTGGACAGGAGCAACTTTACAGGAGCAACCTTGATTCCACACTAGTTTAGGAGGGAGGGAAAAGTAAATTGTTTTCAAATTTCAGTACTTCAGTTTTCATTAATACAAACAAGTGGCAGTACATCTTGGCACAGATGAAGACATGCCACAATGACCCAACACCAGGGTGGAGAACCTCCAGTATCAGGAGGAAGCTAAGTAGCTAGTCGTCAACTGTTTCTTCTTTGGCACTTTGAGGAGTCTAAGGAAGTTGTACATTATCTTGGTCGTTTCTTAAAGCCATCACGGTGTTAGTAAACCATACGTTGTCAGGTGGATGTTAAACTTCGTCAATCTCTTTCTCTAAATATGGTGGCCAGGGGCGCCTGGGTTGCTCAGTCGGTTAAGAGTCTGACTTGGGCTCAGGTCATGATCTCCCGGTTTGGGAGTTCAAGCCCCGCGTCGGGCTCTGTGTTAACAGCTGAGAGCCTGGAGCCTACTCCAGATTCTGTGTCTCCCTCTCTCTCTGCCCCTCCCCTGCTCACGCTCTGTCTCTCTTTTTCTCAATAAAATAAATAAACAAACAAACATTAAAGTAAAATAAAAAATGAATATGGTGGCCAAAAATAAAAATTTTAAGACTGCACTTCTATTAATGCAGCCTAATATGTTGTTAGCTTACTTGTAGTTATTGTAACTAATATTCAATAACAACCAGGTATTAGTTTGCTTAGACTCTGAGGACACAAAACACAAAGAAACACAGTACTGCCTTCAAAAGGGCAAAACAATGTGATAGGTGCTATAATAAAAAAAAATATGTATAGTCCTTTTTTAAAAAAGATTTTTTGGGTTTTTTTGAGAACGTGCCATGCGCACACGCAAATGGGGGAGGAGCAGAGGAAAAGGGAGAAAGAGAATCTTAAGCAGGATCCACCCTCAGCACAGAGCCTGACTCATGACAGTGAGATCATGACTTGAGCTAAAATCAAGAGTCAGTCGCTTAACCAACTGAGCCACCCAGGCCCTGAAGATTTTATTTTTAAGTAATCTCTACACCCAATATAGGGCTCAAACTCACAACCCCAAGATCAAGAGTCACATGTTCCACCACCTGAGCCAGCCAGGTGCCCCTGTATATGGTCCTTTCAAAAGAGTCACATGAAGGGAAGGCCTAACCTTTACCTCTGGAGGTCCACAAAGGCTTCAGCCTGAATATATTTAGGGGAATAGTAAGGGATATTGCACTACACTCAAAGAAGGGTGGCATCGTGTGGGGGAACATAGGGAACAAGGGATCCCAGGTAGGGGGAAGAGCATAAGCAAAATCACAGATGAAAAGAAGCTTAGGCTTTTCGGGAAAAGAACAGTAGTCACAGGGGATGAAATCTAGATGTACAGAGGGACTTATTAGAAGAAACAAAAGAGAAACAGGAATAAATCCTGAAAGACCTCATTTGTACTTCTGAATTTGGACATTATAGAGTCACGAGGCACAGAAGATGTGAATCAGATGCATTTTAGAATTACTTTCTTTACCAAAGAAATTGATGGCTATCTGTGCCTTTGGTAAAGTAGAGAGTGACCAAGAAGTCAGGTGCAAGGGGCACACTTTTCCCTCTCTACCCTTCTTAACTCTTTGGTTTTGAACCTTATGCATATATTACAGAGTCAAAAATTTTAACTGCTAAAAAAATTTGTAAAGTTTGAATTCAGTGTGGAGGATGGATTGGAAAAGAGCAAGACCAAAGTGGTGATAAAACAGGAGAATTGGTGATTATCTGGTGAAGGAATGATGAGACAGGCACTGTGTATGAAAAGGAAAAACTCCAGACACATGTAGATGTGGAATTAGCAACATACAGAGACTGGTGTGGACAGAAAGGATAAGTAAGGAATCTTAGTTACCTCCCAGGTTTCTGGAGGGATTCTTGGGGGGGGGGGGGGGGGATTGGGAATAGAGATTCTATAGAAATAATGAATTCTATTTGTAACATTAGGGCATCTAAAAGACATTCAGGTGAAGACATCCAAGATGCTACTGGTAATACAGGTCTCTTACTCCAAAGAAAGTTCAGTCTGGAGATACAGATTGGGTGTCATCACTAAACAAATGGCAGATGAAGTTTGGCCATGATTATGAATGAGATCTCCTCCGTTTGTAGAACTTACCTAGAGAATATGGATGATTATGAGGGTCCAGAAGCAATATAAGCCTCTGGAAGAGACAGAGGGAAGAGCAGAATTTCTATTAGAAGTTCCCAAGTTACAGTGATTAAATAAAATTAGTTTCTGGATAATTATCCCCTGCTTAAGTAGGTAGATGATTCCTAACTCCTAATTAGAAACATTTCAGGCTAAAATGTCTCATGATACATTTTAAGCCTCAATTACCCTTGTAGATCTAGGCCCAGAACAGTTTTCTAGGGAAAATCTTAGCGCTGTTTGCCAGGACTCCCTTGGCCGTCTCTATGTACAGATGGTTGGTTGATCCTGGTTGGATTACTTACTCTTAATGAGAAAACATCAACCCTGCTCACCTCCAAGTTGATTCTCTGAGTTATCAGGTTTGTGGATCCATCATTAGCAGCAGCAGAAAGTGTATTCATTCACCAAAAAAAATGTAACTCCAAACTTTGTTGCCCTA